TTGCTGTCTCTGTTCCTTGTCTCTTCTGTTATTAAATGGAAGATTCAGTACAAGACAGTACTGTTTAGCTGTTGCAAAATTTACAGCCAACCTGTACCCACTGCAGTTATCAAGTAGGAGTCTTTTGTTTTAGAGTTCAGAAGCTCAGTTCTGGACATTCAGCCTTCTACTCACCATCCACTACTCCCATCCATCCCCAGTTATTTGTAGCCTATTAATATACACGGTCCAATACTCCCTAAAATCACTAAAACTGAAAGGGTCCTGGTGATTAGATAAAACTCAATACCTAAATATTAGATGGCTAAACCACTTGTGGGCACTATGCTATATTTCTTCACTAAATATGAAACCATGTATATTGTGGGTTGAAAAAGTAATTAAAACTCACTTTACTAAGCATCCTTTTTAATAATTGCATAATTTCCTAATTTGTCACACTCATTTTTGAAAATATTGTCATTTCCTTATAAGTTGTGTACATGTGATTTTATGTTTAGAATTGTTAATACCAAGCTTAAAGAATACATGACATGCCAGATTCAAACTCTAACATTTTATTTGATTTGACGAATCTAAATAATTTATTGCTACTTAGACCTGCATGAATATGGTTTCAGTTAACTTCTAAATGGTTCCATTAATATAATTATTGAAATAATATTTAAAAAAAAATCCATGTCTAAACCCTTTTTATATATACTATATATAAACCCCTTTTCATATGTGCTATAAATCTTTATGTTCTCATATTTTAATAAAATACCTGACAACAATTAATTTATTTGTTTTGGAACTGGAAGACATTATTCCTGCAAAAATCTCCTCTAATCTTTTCTGCAGCTGCTCTTCCCATACCCTATACAGGTGCATATAAAAAAGAAATTGTTTCAAAAGTATACATACAAAATAATTCCTAGAAACACATTCTTTGTGTCATTTATACTATGATTATGTCTCTATCCTCAGGACTTGTAAGTGCTTACTGTTGTACAAACATAAAAGAAAATGTCTCTGTCTCAACAGGTTTATAATGGTATAATCATAACATAAATGATAGGAGAAGAGGGATCTCAGCTAACTGTCTAGATTGCTTGTGGCATAATTAATTTCATTTTGATGTATATATTACAAATCAAGTGAGAAAAATTCCATTTCAGGGTTTGGATTGTAGACATCTATCTACATTCATTTTATAGCTTCTAAAATGAATAAAAATTTATGCTAGTGGAATTGCAAAAACTTTAAGGATTTGAGGAACAAATTTTCCAAACTCTTTGTGTGTGTGCATGTGTGTGCATGTGTGCTTGGATGACACTTCTATACTCAAGAGAACTCATTATATCTTTCCTTCACCTCAGTCAGTTCTCTAATTAGTAACATGAAGCAATCCCGAAGTTGGCTAACCATTTTAGGACATCAGTGTAATCAAAGTATACAAAGTAAAGCTTTAAACCAATAGAACTAACTCTTCAGAATCTCCTGTATATGTAGGACCAGGATATTCTATGATTCTATGTTGTAACCTCTCCAAGAAGTTCTGAGATAATTCTAAGATACTAAGTGAATGACAGAATCATCAGTATATAAAGGGGCCTTATAAGAAATACAGATAATTTTTACCAGGGCCTGTAGAGACACAACAAGGGACAACAGTTTTAATCCATTGGAGAAGATTTAGACTTGAAATAAGGGAAATAAGGGAAAAAAAATATCATGAGTGTCATGAGATGCCAGAACAATTTGCCCAGGGAAGTTGTGGATTCCCCATCACCGGAAGTGTTCAAGGTCAGATTGAATGAGGCTTTAAGCTTGAGGTGTTGCTGTGGGGGGAGAGGACTAGATGATCTTTAAAGGTCTTTTCCAACCCAAACCATTCCATGTTTCTATATTTTTCATTGCTTTTAGTTTCAAAAATCGTAGTTTTCATCACCTATTGAGATTGTTGTACTTTATGCTTGTAGGTATACATTGTCTTTTTTAAAGAAATCAAGTATTTGTTGCTATCATAAGGAAGATAAATGACTAATCAGATCTAATGATCTGATTTATTAAGCTTGACTCTTTTTTTCTAAGGGAATATAATTAATATTCATGCAGCATAATGTTTAAATTGAAGCCAAACAAGAACTTTTCTTTTGTTGTGTGCAAGAATAAATTTAAATTGTGAATCATAATTTCACAAGAAGTCTTCCTAAAACTGTTCTTACTACTTTAAAGATTTTATGTGATTAACACAGTTACTAAAGGGTTAAATTTTCGCAAACTGCTAAGTTAGATGTCTTTGCCACATGCTTTTTATTTTGCCTTTGTTGCTGTTAGATAAGATAAAGTAAGATTGATCTGCTATTTTCATATAAAGAACTTCACAGCCCTCATACATTTTGAAAGCATATAGAGTTCCTTTGTTCCTTTAATACTCCAGTTATTTCTGAATTTGTCAGACTGACAGCCTGAAATATTAATGGTATAAACATTAATGGAAAAAAAATCCTTTTTTTTTTTTTAAATACCTTATGTTACTTTGGAAATTATAGTACAGGTAGAAAAATGGGGAATTGCAGGGAAGGGAGGTGCTGCTTTTGAAGTACTTTCAGAAAGGAAGAACACTTGCTGTGGCTATCCTTGATGGACAGCAGTTGTTTTTCCTCCAGTCTTTAATCTTTGTTATAGACAGAGGTAATACCTAATAATAAATTTCTCTTTTATGTGACAGTGTAAAATACAACTATATAAAATATGTCCAATTAGTCAACAGGGTGCCTTAACATATTTACTGGTGTACATTCAAAAGGGAATTTTCATTGAAACTTTTAGACATAATTGACAATTACAAACAAGAAAATATTATTATTAAAATTACATTTGAAGAATCAGTGACTTCCTTCTCATTTTATAGATCATGTATTTACAAAAACGAAGCTGAACTACTTGGCATTTGGAATGCCTATTCTCACTGCCTCTTCCGCCTCTACCAAGCTTTATTCTTGTCTTGACATATTGAAAATCACAAAGATGAGTTATTAGTCAGTGAATGACAGTATATCTTAAACTGTACTTTTTAGTAATAGCATACACGAGGCAGAGAAATCTAATGGAAAAAAGTAAAACACATACACCAGCTTTCCAGAAACATAAATTTTACATGTAAAAAGGTTCTAAGCTTCCTAAGCTTGTGAGGCTTCCTTTTCACAACTAGAGATTAGTTTAACTTGAAAATGATTTTTAAGTAAACCTCATGAAAGAAAGGGAAAGTAATGGCTAGTCTGTATTTAAAGACATTTAAGGGAGATAAAAAAAATTTTTAGAACTCTCCCAAACCTTTAAGTGAAAATAACAAATAGTGTTAGCTAAATAAAATATATTTTCAATACAAGGGACTTACAACATCAGGCATTGGAAACGTGATCTTTCATATATATATTGAATAACAGTCTGCATAACAAACAAAAACTTCTCTAAGGAGGATTTTTTTCCCCTGAGGAACCAATACACAACAAGCGAGGAAGATGTACTGCTGAACCAAATTAGACTGAGGGGAAACATAAATAAACTCTGTAAGTCTGTCAGATTCAGAGAAGTCTTTCAGATTGGGGACAACACACACATGATGGGTATGACGTCACAGTGCCAGTTGTTATATAACAAGAATTTTAAAATAAAATCATATTCCAAATTCCATTTGCCATTTATTTTTTTATCTTTGCTTTAATTCTAGCTGAGCTCATATGAAATGCTAGAGAATAACTCACTTGCATATTAGATAGACAGTGAAACTAAGAATTAGTTTCAAGTACCTTAGGTAAATAACACAGTAAATATACCAGTGAGCATGAATGTTCTTTCTTTCATATGCACACTGCATTTACATTTGCTTCAGCAGAATATTTAAGAATGTCAGTCTAAAATGTGTGTTACTCTCATGCAAATTGTTTGCAATCTTCTAACAAAAAAATGCTTACAATGCCTTTCCACAAATAAAAACAAGGAAAAAAATAAAATAGTATTTTATTTAGCCAGATAAAATGCAAAAAAAAAAAATTCTTTTTCCAAAATTATTACTTTTTTTCTCTTCTTTAGACTAAGAGGGAGAAGAATATAATGGAATTTAAGATATTATTCACAGCAATATTTTTTTTTCAATTTTAAGTACATTAATCTCAAGTTTAGGAGTAAAAATACTGATATTCAGAGAAACTGGAAGAAAGCATTAACCTATACATAGTCACTAGAGCACTTTTCTGTGATATCAGAGGTCAGTCTCCTTATGAATCTGCAGTTTTCTGCTTTAGACTACAGAATTGAAGTTGGGCTCACCTCATCTTCAAAATACTGTAACACTTTGTTTATGGAAATAAAATTTGAAACATTAATCAGTTGCTTTTAATACACTGTGTTCCCATAAAGCATCCAAAGCATTTAATCTAAACTGGTTTTTTATGATCCAATTTTTAAGGACCCTTAGGTCTTTAAAATCATAGGAATTATTTTCTCAGTTCTATCTAATCACATGAATAATTGCCATCTAGTAGGTTTTAGATAGTTTGTTTCAAAACTGCACTTATAACTGATCCTATTAATTGTAGGAAGAAAAACATCACACAAAGTCCTAATTATAGTCACAATGAAAAAGGGCATTCAATTAGTGTTTCATTATGTAGTGTTGTTTAATGTGACTAACGTCAGTGAATAGTACCATTTTCTTTCAGCCTGGAAGGTAGTTATTCCTGCAGTAGGACTCCTTTAAGGCAGTCTATCCATACATGTGCACATGTGTACTGACAACTATTACAGAAACCTAAACCAGAGAAGCAATGGCATTAAATATCAAGGAATCCTTTTTTGGAACCTGAATAGATCCAGTCTGACCCAATTTCATTTGGAAGGAAGGATACAAGAGCAGACACTCTAAACTTGAAACCTACGTATCGTTTTCTGCCCTCCAAATCTGATGTACTGTGAGGTCTGCAAAGAGACAAGTTTTAGTATGAGTTACTCACCTGAGGTAATATCTGTGTCACTTCAGCTTTCAAGACTGAAGAAAGTTATATTCTCAATTCAAGAAAACTGAGCTTCCAGAGAAATAAAGACTTCCAGCATCAGAGCTGATCTTCCACACAGTATTTACCAGAAAAAACCAACCAAACAAAAACAAAACAAAAACCAAAGCAAAACAAACTCCAAAACTTCATAAAGAAACTCAAAAATCTCATTATAGATTTTTGATAGTGATCATACAGACTGTTCATACTACAGATACTCTTTTCCAAGCAGACCCCATCTCTTTCAGTCTCCTTCACAGTCTCACATTGTAAGTAAAAACAAAATAATTCTGAAAATTTTCAAGGATTGTGGGTGTAAAAAGAAGGGGAAAATACAAAAAAAAAAAAAAGGAAAAAACTCCCAAACTGATGTTACAGTTCTTCCAGTAATGACTAGCTTGTAGTTTAATCTTCTACCTATGTGAGTGTTTGGCAAATTCACACCAGCCTTTAATAGAAAAGATCAAGGCTGAAGGTCCTGTCCATCATCGACCACAGGTAAAGAAACAACTGAGAATTCATATTAAAATTTTTATATATAAAATGAACAAATAAGAAGACTTGCTCATTTTCCCCTGACTTATGTTTGAATTTTCCATTCTCTACACTTTTTCTACTTGAATTTTAACTTTAGGTATTTGACTCTGCCTTTGTTTCCTATGTTAAAAGAGAAATGAACAATAGGTGAGAAAACATGGGGATTTTTACTTTAAAAATATCTGAAGAATTACATTTTTATTAGACTAGTAAAAATGATCAGATGGATGGAACATGGCTCCTATGAGGAAATGCTGGGACAGTTGGTGTTGTTTATCTTTACATATTTATGCTAGACACTTTCCTTTGTATAATTTAATCACAAATACTGCCACCATCCTATTACCAATCTTAATAGTTAAGTCCCTCTCAGCTATGATTTTCTAAGTATTTGACATAAAACAAGCTTCAAATACAATAAAACAGAAATCGAAGAAAAAAATAAAAATTGTTTTACAGAGTGTTAATTAAAATAGGATTAATGTTGAGGCATAGAAAACTGCATTAGAAAAATCTACATCTGAGAACTAAAGATAAATTTAAGGATACAATTTTCAAAACTTGGAAATAATCTTCTTCTTCTTCTTCTTCTTCCACTTCCACATAAACCTAAGCTAAAAATTTAAACAAAGTAATTAAAGGGACAACTCATATAGTTTTAGTAATTGTCCCCCAAAGGATTGAGTCTCACAAGTGCTTTCAGAAGAAATTCAGTTGGATATGGGACAGGTCAGTGAATCTAAAGAGTACATTGCTTTCTAACATTGATTTTGCAGCTCCAAAGCAGAAAGGTCTTTTCCTACAGACTGAAAGATGACAGGTGATGTTGAAGAATTGAGACGTGAAAATGAAACCCTTAACTGAGATCATATGTAGAGTAATATATGTGTACAGTCTGAAATTAATACAAAAGATATGCCAAAACCACACAACAATCCCTTTAAAATCCTACCCTAGAATTACATTAACAGTTATTTCTTGTTATATACTTTTAAGGACCATTATTTTAACACAAAGTATATTTTAGTAAATCAGTCTCATATCACTAAGCAAATAACATACTTGCCATGCCAATGTCATCCTTATTATACTCCTCACTTTTTCTCCTCAAATTATTCTCATCATTTATATCCAGTTCAAAGATTATTAGTTTCTTGTAATCTATAAAATATAAATTACTTCATTTATTTGTAGACTTGTTTAAATTGCATTTAAATACAATGGACCTAGTTCGTATATCTTATAGGACACCCTGTGCAGTGCTAATAAAAATAATTTCACAATGTGATATCTCATACATAAATTTGGGCATGTGTCTGTGTCTGGTTCCTTTTCTTTTTTTTTTTTTTTCTTTTTTTTTTTTCTTCTCTTTTAATAAGGCAGCTAATCTGTGTATAATCCTTTCTTTAAATTAAATTCTGACATTATGTGACAGAATCATGTTTGGAATTAACATAAATCTTGGTAAAGGCAAACCAAATAATTACTGCAGTCTTCTGATCCATCCTAATGTTCACACTTATTAACAAAGTTTTAGACATAAAGCAACCACTATCATTCATTTGGTGAAAATTAAAGATAATACAAACCAGTGTCAGTGGATTGACATTGCTAAGTTTTTAGGATACACTTCAGTATAAGGGACTTGGTATTGTAATTTAAGTATGAAGTACTGTAATAAAGTATGCTGACCTGTTCAAGTTAATTTCAGAAGCAGTACAGTATACTACCTGTTTTAGGTAGGAAAAAGAAAATACATTTTCTGAAGACACTTCGAAATTCTAGTTTATCAACAATTTTGGTACGGAGTTACCTGGAATACAAAGTTTTGTTTTATCCTAACAAAGATCTTTGGGAGATTAAATGCAGACTTCTAAAGATGGGATAGATCAAAAATTAGAATACTCAGACCTGAGAAACATAATTTTAAGGTATGCTTTTTTGCTGACTTGCTGTGATAAAAGATTATCTGGCATTACCAGAATAAATGCTTCCGAATTGGATAAAAATAAATAAATCAATCAACTGAGATTTGGGTTCTTTCCATATAGATATTTTTCTTCATTTGAGAAAAATGAGGGAAAATAAAAGTTAACATGTTCTGCAATATTAACCTAAAGGAAATGTCACCAATTTTTTCTCAAATTAGAACTATTTCTGGTAGTTAGTGGACTATATTTAGATTATCTTCTCTGTAAATTAACTAGCTTATTGCTAACATTTTTTTTCCCCATTAAAACAGTTATCCACAATCACACAGAGATCTGTATTTTTGAGTTTGTACCACAATATGGATGTGGAATCATAAATCTTTAGTTTTTTCAGGTAAGAAATTTTTTAAAACTTCAAAATATTTAAATAAATTTTTTCATTATACCACAACACACACAATCCAAATGCTGGATTTTGCATTTGCCCTTTCATAAAATTTGGTTGATGCACTTTTCCACCCTTTTTATGATACTCTGGGTGACTCTACCCTTCAATGTATTGACTCATAATCTGCAGCTCGGTGTTACCTTCAAGCTTGATTTCAGTCCATGCTCCATTGTCTCCTGGAGATGTTTGATAGTGATGTTAATTGGGACAGGTACCAGTATAGAGCCCTACTGTATCCCACTTTATTTGAAGATCATTATTACCATATTTCTATTTCTACTCTGAGCTAAACATTTCAGGTAAACTACATTTGTTTTACTTTTAGCTTTTTGATAAATTAAATTATTTGTTGAGGAAAAATTAAATGGGAAAACACATAGAAACATAAATGCACAAACCCCTTTTTTATTCCTTATTTAAACATGTGAGCTTCGTTCCATTGTGACATTTTAACCACAGAAACCAGTAACAGAAAATGGTGAAGGTAGGCAATGACCTTCTGAAAACACAAGATATATATGTAATGTGTCAGAATAATTCTGTTTCTTCTCTGGTTTCAAATTCATAACTGTCTTTGGGGGAAAAAAAAAAAAAGGAAAAAGAAACCAATGTTTTAATTTTCCTTGCAATATCTCCATATTTATTAAATGCAATCAGCATTTTGATGTGTTATTTTCTGTAGCAGAAATAACAGAAGAATTGTTATGGGTGCTTACCCTCATTTCTAATTTGAATTACAAAGAAATAAATTGTTTATATTCTGTTTTACACAATTTTGAACACTTCCTGTCAAATATTGTATGCATGCTTATATTTATATATAAATACACATGTATAAGAATGAATGTGTTCACTCTAAATACACACCTCATAATTTGCTTTAGAGGTCATAATGAAGTGTAATGTATTTTTTATATTGAATTTCCCTGTAATTGTGGTGTTGCAATTGTAGGCAGTAAAATAAACCCTGTTGTGGTGCAGATGTTACCAGGTTTTATGTTTTTATTGTACGCAAATTAAATTGTACAACTCCGGATTTGTCCTGAGTTTCCTGCATTCATTTCACAGGAAATACCTTGTATGTTCAATCACTCATGGTTGAACAAAAATTATCAGGAGGTAAACTTATATTTAGACAGCCAGACTTCTAGGCTTGGCTTCTGAATCCCCAGGCCCAGATAGAAAGCCTGGTGAATAGCAACTGTGTACTTCAGTCAGTTCTATGCACACAGAAGAATCCTTCATCTCCACCTTGTCCATAACCTCTGTGAAAGACATCTCAAGTTTGTGGTTCAGAGGAGAACTGTGATGTCACTGGGTGCTGTTAGGGCTTATCAAATAATTAGTAGGTTAGTGAAGATGTATCAATATCTCCAAATGTTTTTTTTTTTTTTTCTGAATCACAGATCACTTTGCATCTTGTTTAATCAAGGTTTCCTAACATAAAATATATCATACCTATGATAAGCACTCTTCTGCCTTTTTATTTTGACTTCAAAAATTTTGATTGTAAAAATTGAGATGGCAGATATTTGAAAAATATTTATCATATAGGAATAGAAATAAAACTAAAAAACTTGGAACATTAAAAATTATATTTCCAGTAAGGAAATTGACAACTGTGGAAATAATTTACTATCAGAATATTCTGGAGAAGAACCCAGGGGTCCTGGTGGACAACAAACTGTTCATGAGCCAGCAGTGTGCCCTTGGTCTCAAGAAGGCCAGTGGTATCCTGGGGTGCATTTGGAAGCACTGTCAGGTGCAGGCCAAGGGAGATGATACTGCCTCTCTACTCAGCCCTGGTGAGGCTACATCAGAAATGTTGTGTCCGGTTTGGGGCTTTTCAGTACAAGAAAGACATGAAGCTCCTGGAGCAGGTTCAGCAGATGTCCAGTAACAAATTAACAAAAGAACTGGAGCACCTGATTTATGAGGAAAGGCTGAGGGAGCTGGAAATGTTCAACCTTGAGAAGAGACGACTTGAGAGGGCACCTCACCAATGTATATAAGTATCTGAAGGGAAGGTGTCAAGAGAATGGAGCTAGGCTTTTCTTGTGGTGCCAAGCAATAGCACAAGAGGCAACAGGCAGAAATTGATGACAGGAAGTTCCACTTGAACATGGGGAAGAACTTCCATGCTATACTAGTGACCATACACTGGAATGGATTGCCCAGAGAAGTAGTGAAGTGTCCCTCACAGTAGATATTTAAGAGCTATCTGGATGCAATCCTGTGCAATGTGCTCTCTGCTTGAGCAGGAAGGCTGAACAGGATAATCCACTGTGATCCCTTCCAACCTAATCCATTCTGTGTTTCTGTGATTAGACAGAAATTAATAACAGTCTGTTAGTTCTCGC